GAAAGGATGAAACCTCAAGTTCAGAAGCCAGATTGGGTTTAAAGCCCAGCCCCACACTGTACCAGGTGGGAGATCCTGAACAAGGTATTTAACTCCTCTGAATCTGTTTCCTTGTCTGTTAAATGAGGATGACCACAGCAGTAATTTCACCAGACTGATGTGAGGATTAAACAGGTTAATACATGGGGAGCATTAGCTTAGTGCCAGGCACATGATTAGGTGTTCAAGAAATTTCAGCCATCGCTACCCCAACAGGCCAGACATCCGCTTGGAGTACGACATGTACCATCTCATTACCTCCGCACATGCACACACATACCCCAAAGAGAGGAATGGAGGTGTGGCCCTGGTATAGACATGGCCTGTGGAGTCCAAGAGCTCAGGCTCATCTCCTCCCTTCCTTCCTGCACTCAAGGAAGCTTGTCAGGATGGAGACAGTGGATCTCTGTTGTCTTCATCAGACCATCAACTCTTCCCTTCCTCCTGGGAATCAGGACTGGGTTTTCCTCTTCAAAACGGTCTTTTCCCCCTAACTGCAGACAGTGGGGTTCAGATGGGATGGATACCCTAGGTCCCTCCCCCTGGCTTAAGGTCAGGGCTTCCAGCTTATGTGATCTAATCGATGCGTGTGAGAGCAGCCCTGAGACTTCTGTAATTGTTTTGGAGGTGCGCTCTCTCCCTTTGGGGGTAACCTAACTACTAGGATGAAATCCTGGAGCTACTGAGACCATCTTGCTGTGGGGTGGGAGGGACCAAAACCAACAAAGAAAAAAAAATATGAAGAGCTGGGGAAAGGCACACTGGCATCTCCTGTGATCCAAATCTATTTGATCACTAAATCATGTACATTGAGCATAGAAAATAAGCTCGGATAGCCACAGACCATGTTAACTCAAACTATTTGGTTCCTGAGTTTTGGACAGCGAGAGGCAAGAGTTCAGAAAGGGAGAGATTCATCTAAAAAATTTATTCCAATTTATTCAGATCTTGAGTGGAGATAGTGAGGACCTGGTTAGAGTTTCAATAACAAGGGATACCCTTAATACTGAGGATATTCCATGAGCCCCTAGATCCAGCCATATCTGAAATTAAATAGCTTTTAACCTTTTCAGTTACATGTCTCAACAAATCTCTTTTCCGGCTGAAGTCCGTTTTATCTGGGTTCTGGTGGCTACAAATGTCTCTCACACACACACACACAATTTATCTCTCTTTCTCTCTCTCTCGTTCCCCCCACCCCAATTTCCACCCTTATTCTCCCAAAGCAGAATCTAATTCTGAAGAAATGCCTACCTCTTCCCAAGGTTCTTCCGCTACTTTGCTCTCTTTCACCTTCTTCTTTTTACTCCTCTTCAGAGCTGGCTCCTCAATGCCTGGCTGCTCTACCTTTTTCTTGGACTTCATTTTCTTCTTTGCGGGGGACTTGGGGTTATGTCCTATTGGGATGTATTCTGGAGCCTCAAGTTTGACTGGCTTCTTAGTTCCTTTCCTAGGGCTGCTCTCCACAGACTTGGAGCACTCAAGGTGCTCTTCTACGGAGGTATCTCCCTTAAGGTGGATTTTCTTTTTCTTCTTCATCTTCATGTTGCATTCCCTGGGGATGCCCTGTTTCCGTTTCTGCCCTGAGCCTGTCTGCTCCGCACCATCCTTCCCCACTGAGCAAGTGTACAGAGTATCCCCAAACTCACGGAAACAAGGGTCCTTGGCCGAGGCAGCTGCAGCCTCCCGGGCCTTCTTCTCCTTCTTGTGTTTTTTGGGCTTCTTGCCAACTCTGGTCACCTCCTCAACCTGTCTAGTGTCTGGGGAGGTCCTCCCTCTTGAGCTAGAAGGCCTGGCCAGAGGTTTTAAGGACTTCCTCTTTTTTTTCTTCTCCCCACCTTGGAACTCAGATGAACCAAGAGCCTGCTTCCTGGGGGTGGCCAACTTCTCTGTCCGTCCAGCACGTAACATGGTCTCGGGTTCTAGGTGCTCCTGACAGAGGGTACTATGGCCCTTCTTTTTCTTCTTTTTCTTCACCAGAGGCATCTCAGATGCCTGCCCTAGCTCCACACTCTTTGAGGGGAATGTTGCTCTTGTGGGACAAATCTCAGTGAAGTAATTACCACTGTTTAAAACTGAGTACTGAGTCTCTGGTTCTTTGACTACCTTCTTTTTCTTCTTCTTTTTCTCTGGGACCCCAAGGCCCGGGTCTCCTTTGTGGGTTTTCGTGATCATTCCTGAAAAGAGAAATGGTACAAGTTATCTCCATACCAAACCACCCCATGTACAATTCGGCTAGTTAGTGCCAAGAGCCACAATTCTGAGTGGCTAGCCTGAAATGTTAGAGGATGGGAAAATGGGAGTCATTCCTTGAGACAAAGGAAAATGTAATGAAAGAAGTAGAACGGAATTTAAATGGAGACAGGCCCAAGTTCAAATTCAAACTGCTCCCTCATTAACTTAAACCCCAGTCACCCAGCCTCCCTGAACATTAATGTTCCCATCTGGAAAATGGGGGGGGGGGGGGTGTAAGATGATGAAATAGAACACTTCCCTCTTAAAGGGCAAGAATATACAATAATCCCTGGAAAGGGATTCTCTTTCTCACTGCCTTCCTTAAATCTCTGATCCTAATCACCCATTAAACAAATTTACCCACTGCCTACCCTGTGCCGGCCACTGAAGATACAACTGCAATCAAATCAGACATCAAATGCTCTCCTCAGGCAGGGGCTTACCTTTCACTGAATGAAGGGGACAGAAATCTTGAGGTCAACTCTACCTGCTAATTCCCACCAGAGGCAATAACTATGGCACAATTAACCCCTTACCTTGGTTCATCTAAGCAACTCTTTTCCTTTGTGTCTGGAAATTAATTCCCCCCACCTGCCCCCGGGTGACTTTCTCACCTAACTACCTTCCCATGTGGCTAGTAATAAGAATGGTAACAAGATATGATGAAGGCAGCCCCAGCTAGGACTGACAAGACCTAGGTCCAAATGGTGACTGATGCCCCTTGCTCCATAGTGTTGGTTTCTTTGGGCCTCAGTTTCCCCATCCATAAAGAGGCACTGAACTAGATCAAATGCTGCTAGGGACTGGGGAGGTGTTGGGGGCCACACCCTGCCTGCTTCACTATTTCTAAATTTTCAAATTACCAATATTTAGCAATTGAAGATGACACAGAGCAACGTAGAAAGCCCAGCTTTTGGGGGGGGGGGAATGTCATGTAGGCAGCTGTGGGAAGGGGCTGACGCCCCAAGTACATTTTATCTTCCAGCTGGGACACTTCTCTCCAGTTACCACACACAAGCTCCTGCTGCTCCCTGGACTAGGTGACATGGAGACACCCAGGGAATCAAAGGAGGTTTGGACAGTGGGAGGGAAAGGTCGGGAGTTTCTCCACCCTGAAGCTCTCTTTAGCCTCGTTGCCCCAGGGAGCCACACTGGACCTGGTTAACCATTAGCATTTTCAAAGAGCCAGGCCAGGACTAAGCCATAGCTCAAGTTCATTTATAACTCATGCCAGGAGCACCTGTAAGTCAAGGATATACCCTCTCTATTCACTCTTGTCCTGTTTTCTGCTGTATTCCCAGAGCCTAGCTCTGCACCTGACACACAGCGGGTGTTTGACAAATACTCACTAAATGAATGAATGCCAGAGATACAGAGAGAAACAAGATAAAACACCTGCTATCAGGAAACAGGTGTAGGCTGAGAAGAGGTGTGATAATGAAGATACGGTGATAAAAGCAAGGCTAGTGGTGAGGTCAGGGTAATGAAGTTCATCTAATCTGGCTTACCAGTTGTCTGGAAAGTTTCTAGAACAGAGGTTTCCAGCTTAGGCAACTGCGGGATGGTGGTGTTAACCCCTTTAAAAAAAGGAACTGAAGGCGGGTAGTTAGGGGCTGCAGGAGACAGGCTGGTTTGCAGATGCCTTGAGCTATGCAAGTGGACAGGTGGATATGTGGGTTCGAGGCTCGGGGGTGACTGGGCTGACATGAGTTTTTTAAAAAAACACTCATAAATGAATATATGGATGGTAATTAAGCCTCAAAAAGAATGAGCCTAAGACCTCAGGGAAGCAGGAGGGCAGAGGGAAAGGGGCCTGCAAAAGAAGATGCAAACCTGGAGAGGGTGGAGTCGAGAGAAAGAGAGAGAGAATATGATCGCGCGAGCGCCCCGAGAGCGCCAAGAGTGCCTCAGGTGGGGGAGTGGTCAAGTGATCTGATTAGAACAAAGAACTTAAAGGGGGACTGTAGTCATTGAACCCCCTTTCATAATCACTGTAGCTTCCTTCCTCTACAGCACTGAAGATCTTGCTCTTCAACCCTGCGACCCCAGATAAATTCGCTCCAAGAGGAAAGACTCTTACAGTGTGTCTCCAACAAAAGCAAACACTTTCTCCAAAAGCCCTTTTAAAACCTCGCGGTAGTCTCCCGAGGACCGGTGTGAAACCCCATCTCAGACTTGCTGAGGCTTCGAGACTTGAATTTACTTGTCCTGGGTCCAACAGCCAGCAAGTGGCAAAAAGGACTCGAACGCAGCATGCGCTCTGCACAGGGGAACACACACCCCACGGCCGCCGCCGGTTCACGAGCAGGAAGCAAGGGAGCCAGGAGGCGAGAACGGTCCCTCACCGGCTCCGCCGCGCCACAGCTTCCGCACAAACACACAGGAAGGGATTACGCGGGATCCCGGCCCCGCTTCAAGGCGGGAGAAATTCCAGGCCGGAGCGAGCGCACACAGGCGACTGGGGTGGGAGGGATTATGTGTGGATTTGGGGTACAGGTCACCCACTTCTCCCTCAGTTCTCCGCGCAAGTCCCCAGACCCCACCTCTAGACCCCGCGCCGCCCCTCCAGTGCGGCCCCTCAGCACTCACCGGTACGCCAATCTTCCCCGCCTCCACGTGAAAGCCAGCTCGGCCGCAACCCGGAAATTAATCTCGAGTCGCTGGCCCGCCTCCTTGAGTTCCGGCTCCTTCCGGGTCGTAGCCAAGCCGGGAGGGCGGTTGCCTTGGAAACCGCGGCCATGGCTGCACCTGGTCAGGCGAGTGGTAGCACAACCCAGCGCGAGGAGCCGGCCGGCTCAGCAGAGTCGTCGGACACTGCCCAGACGTCAGTGCCCATCGTGTCCACCGTGTCCCCCGAGCTACCCCTCTCGCCAGGACAAGGCGTGGAGCCTCCGGGCAAGAACCTGTGGGAGCAGATCTGCGAGGGTAGGCAGCCCGGGCCGGCAGAGAGGGGCGGGACTCGCCAGGCGGGGTCCGCGTTCTCAGGGCGCCTGACGTGCGTGGTCCCCTTGGTAGGCGCGCGGCAGGCCCGCCAGGATCTCCATTTCACGGACGGGGAAACTGAGGCTCCGAGACTTTCGTGCGAGATGTCGCACCGCAGGCTTCCACCTTGATCCGTACTCAAATTAAAACCAGGGAAGCCAGGGGAAAGCGGAACAAAGGGGGACCCAGTGGTGTGGACAGTGGCTCTCCAACCTCACTTAATAAATAAGAAAGAATCTTTGGGAGAGAGATGGGGAGCTTGGTTAAAGCGTAGGATCCCAGTTCCTGCCCACAGATCCCATAATCAGGTGCAGGGAATCTGCACTCTTAACGTGCATCCTAGGTAATTCTGATTAGTTAAGTCTGTAGCCCGCAGGTTGAGTAAACATGGTCTCTACAGATTTGGGTTTTAATCCCTCTCCACTTCTGATCTTCCTTAAACTCCCCAAATGAAGTTTAGCGCAATTTCTTTCATGGCCCTACACTACTCTTGGTCGTGAGGCCTTTCAGTACTTTTCACATACGTTGAGCAAGTTACTGCCCTTTCTGTAAAGTGAGCAAAATAATGACAGCTGTTTTATGGTGTTAAGAGCATTGCAGCTAAATAGTCACAGAAAGTGCTTAGCAAACTGCCCCATTTCCAGCAAGAATTCGATAAATGTGAGCTCTTAAAAAATAATATTGGGTGGGGTTTTTTTTCTCCTCTAGATAGTAAGCTCCTCAAGGTCAAAAACTCAAGATTTTTCATTCTTGTGATTATTCTATGTCAGCTGTCTGAAACAGCACTTCCCAGAACTTTCAAATATGGTAGCCCTATTGATTGATCATGTTGTACACCTGAAACTAATTTAATGTTAAATGTCAGTTATAGCTCAGAAAAAAATGTGGAAGCTACTAGGCACATATAGTTTTGAGCGCTTAAAATGTGGGTAGTGCATTTGGGACTCAAATTTTTTATTTTACTTAAATTAACCAAATGTAAATAGCGACTGTGGCTAGTGGATACCATATTGGACAAATCAGGAAATGTTTGTTGAATGGGGAAAAAGAGTGAATGCACCAATATATGAAAGAAGTGGAAAATACAGAGGAGGAAGAGAATTGCGGACTCCGAGTTGATAGGTAACTCTCAGCGGCTGTCTGTTTCACCTCCCATCCAATGCTTGAATTCCTTTTCCAGTTTCACATTATATTTAGAAAAATCAAAGTTCTCCCTGTAATTTCTACCCTTTGGTCCTAACCCCTTGGTGTCATGACCCAAGTTGATCACTCTACCTTAAACCACTCATATTTGAAGGTAGTCGTGAATGTCTTTTCCCCAGAAAAGTGGAAGGAGTTTTGACTTCTTCAAGCCAAACAGTTCTTTGTAACAGAGTTTATTACTGGTGTGTTGTCTAAGGAAAACTGCTTATCTACCTCACAGGGCTGATGTGAGGACCAGGTAAGATAATATTTGTGAAGGTGATTAGCATAGTGTCAGACATTTAGAAAGAGCTCAATAAATGTTCATTGTTGTTAACAATGAAACATGGTTTGCCTTGTGTTTTAAAGTCAGAAGATTATTTTGGTCAAATAGCCCTGTAGGGAAAAGCAAAGACAAAGAGGTTTGGCGCTCTCTGTAAAGCAAGTGAATTGCTACTCACAAAGTGATAGAGTTACATCACGAAGTTAATGGGGTCAGAGATGGTGAATTATATACCAAGGCTCTGTCATGATTACTTTAAGCCAGATGAATTTCTTAACTGTTCTAACATGGAGTTGCCTATAACAAGCATATAATGGGTAAATTTCGTGCCTCACAACAAACATGAAAAGCAGGCTTTGTGGTAATCCTATGTTTGAGGTTAACTGTTACGTTCTATTAGTACATCTCCATTTAAAAAGCAACTCATCACAGCAAGTAGACCTGTGAGAAACTCAATTTCAGGAAGAAGAAATATAGAATAGGTAAATATCTGACTTAAGACTGTCTTACCTGGCTGATGCTGTGTGTGTGTGTGTGTGTGTGTGTGTGTACATGTATGTGTTTATATAACTTGACAACTTACTTGTAATTTTTCTTTAATTTTCGCTCTCAACTTTCCAGTGATGACTACCTCTGAGCTTTGTATCCTCAAAGGCACTTGTATCAGTATCAATAAAGTTCTTTCCTGCCAAGGCTTCTAATTAAATCTTATTCTTGCTTGTGACATGATTTTTAACTATGGTTTTAATGAAGACCGAGTCAAAGTATCAGGAGCTTACAGTCTCCTGTTTTGTTATTGCTGTTATTACTCTCATCAGCATCCTCATTATTGCCATTGGTTCATTACTCCAAATACTCTGCAACCTCAACCCTTAGAGCCATTGTAGAATCAGGTTCCTCCATCCCACCTGCCAGATACCAACATGGACCAGCTCTGAATCAATCCATGTAACCTTAGAGCAGCTGCTGAGTACAGCTGGAGAAAAGTGACACCAGGGGGCTCTCACACTGCCTGTCAGTCAACATCCCTCAGTGGCTTCTTCTGTTGCCCCCATCTACTAGCCCCAAGTTTCTAACCCCCTTCAAATGTTGGGTGGTATCACTTAGTAAATGTAGGAGACATTCATTGAGAAGAGTCAGGCATTTGGAGGCAGGAAGGGGATCCTTCAACTTCCTTATACCGATTAACATATTTGCATCTGCACACATACCCTGCTACCAGCAGCTCAGCCGGCATCTGGGCTTTGGTACCATCCTCTTGGCATCCCAGGATCCTGCTCTGTCACCCTGTCTCCTACATGTAACTTCTTTACTGACTTTTCCTTCCAAACATCCTGTGGTCTGTCATCTTGAGAAAAACCTCTCCCTTAGCACGTATTATCTTCTAGCTCTTGTTTATCCCTTTTCTTCTCTCAGCCAAGCTTCTGGAAAGAACACACTGCCCTTGTTCATACCACTGTCACTCCTTTTATCAACCCAGCGCAGACTAGCTCCTACTTACCTCATGGTTCCAGTGAAATTATTCTCATCGATTCTGTCAACCTATCTACCCATGCTGGGAACTGTTTTAAGTGTTAGGCTAGGAATGACTCCAGCCACTATTCTAGACACCCAGCAACTTTCGTTCTCAACGAGTGTCACCATCATTCACTCAGCTACCCAGTCCAGAAATCCTCACTGGATTCATCATAAGGTGAATCATTAAGATTCATCTTAACATGTTTCCCATTTGCTTTTCATGATCCCCACATTCTCCAATCCCTATAGATTCTACCTGCTTAATATTTGTAAGACCTAACTCCCCCCCCCCCCCCCCCCCCCCAGTTCTCATGGCTGCTGCTGTAGATCAGGCCCTTACCACACCCTGTTTGGATTGCTGCTATAGCTTTGTAATTGCAGAAGTCCTCTATCCAGACCCTGTTCCATAGGAACCCCTTTAAAATTCAAATCTGACCACATCATGCCTTGACCTACGATGATTTTCATAACTTTCATGATAAACAAACTCTTTAGCTTAAGATCTAAGCCCCTTAATGATCTGGATTCTGTCTTTTTTTTTTTTTTTTAGGTTCATCACCTACCATTTGCTCAAATCATACTAATGGCAACATTTATTGAACTGCTCTATGTGCCAGACACTGTGCTAGAAGCTTTTCCTCATTTAAACCTCACAGCAACTCAGGGCTTTGCCTGTTGTACAGGCAAAATTGAGGAAACCGAGGCAGAGAATTAAGGAAACTTAAATAACAAATGCAAATAAAAGCAAAATGTCACTTAAATATATATAAGATTGGTAATACCCTCGAGAAACAATCTTACTATTAGGAGTATAAATTGTTATAAACTTCTTGGAGGAACATTTGTCAATTTGGTCGAAATTTTAAATTATTTTTTCCTTTAACAGAACAATTCCACATCTAAGAATTACTCCTATAACAATATCTCTTTTCCAATCAATCTATATTTCACCATATATATATATGGTGATGCTCCTGGCAACATTGTTTGTAGTAATGAAAAATTGGAAACAACCTAAGCACTCATTATGTACACTGGTTAAATAATTGTGGCATATCATATATGTAGCGATCTTGAAAGATGGCCAAGATTCAACACCTAGAATGGTTCTTGGCACATAGTAGGCTCTCAGTAAGTGTGAACAAAAGAATAGATAAAGAATCAAAAGTAACTTGCTATATTCTTCATTTTGTTCATTCATTCATTCAGTCAGCAAGTATTCTTTGGGAATATGATGGTGAGCATAAACAGACCCGGACAATTTCCCTCACTAAACACAGTCATTAATTTTTACAGACTTCAAATGAGGATAAAACTGATAGGAATTATGAAGAAAAAGGACTGTGCTATGAGGTTCTATACTTGGATGATTTGGCATGGTCTAGGAGATCTAAAATAAATGTACTTGTGTGTTATATGCATATGTTAGTAAATACGTTGAAATACAGTGGTTATGGGTTATAATGGGATTGGACGTGACTTACACTCTTTACACAAGACAGGTCTGTATTATTTGGAATTTCCTCATCATAGCGTGTATTGCTTTTGTCATCAGACAAAGCTCTAAATATTTATATCCTAAGTCTGAATAAATAGTTTTCACACCATGTTTGTGTTTCTCAAAGTGTTTGGGAAAGAAGAGCGAGTTTATATGCTTGCTTGAGAGGAAAGCAAAGTGGTAGAGCTCAAGCTGTTATTGTGGGTGGAAATCTAAGATGGCTCCAAGGATTCCCACTCCCTACTGCACACATCTCCAAGATATTCAATCAAACACAAATCTAGGCATTGCCATCAAGGGATTTTCCAGACATTATTGAAGTTTGTCATCAATTGACTTTAAGTTAGGAAGATCACTGTAAGTGGGCCTGACCTAATCAGGTGAACCTTAAGTCAGAGTCATTAAAGCAGAAGAGACTCCTGTTTGCCTTGAAGTAGCAAATAACCACATGTGGACTGTCCATGACGAGGACTGAGGGTGCCCTCTCGGAGCTGAGAGTCCCACCAACAAAAAGAAAATGGGAGCTTCAAACCTACAGCCACAAGAAACTGAATCCTGTCAACAACCAATGATCTTAGAAGAGGACACAACCCTCAGATGAGATCACAGCCATGAATGGCCAACACCTTGATTTGAGCCTGATGAGATCCTGACCCATACTGGACTCCTGACCCATGGGAACTGTGAAATAATAAATTTGTGTTGTTTAATGTTGCAAAGTTTGTGGTGATTTTTTACATAGCATTAGAAAACTAATATAGCTGGTACTGGGCAAGATTGCTTGCAACCTACAGGCTGACATACTGGTCCCCAGCCTGACACCTAGGAGTTAAGAAAAAAGAAGTCAAGAGATGTTTCACTGACGAGGAACTAGGTATCCAAGGAACTATGTGTCCAATACAATTTTATTCATTCCATTGATACCATCTTGCTCAGAAACTGTTTTTTCTCATTGCTGCAAAGTGACTATATTTGTCATTAAAACATTGACTTTTCCAGAAATATTCTTACCACTTTTTTTTAGGGATGTAACTAATTTAGCCCCAAGCATTTCTGTCCCTCTCCAAGCAATAGTTCTTGTTACCCTGCAGAACTTGTATGGACTGTTCATTGCATTAGGCTCTCCAACATGTTGACTGTGAGCAGCCTTGAAACCTGGCAACCTCACTGCACATTAGAATCAGCTGGAAAGCTTTAGGGGTGCCTGGGTGGGTCAGTGGGTTAAGCCTCTGCCTTCAGCTCAGGTCATGATCACAGGGTCCTGGGATTGAGCCCTGCATCGGGCTCTCTGATCAGCGGGAAGCCTGCTTCCCCCCCTCTCTGCCTGCCTCTCTGCCTACTTGTAATCTCTCTCTCTCTGTCAAATAAATTTTTAAAAATAAAAAAAATCAGCTGGAAAGCTTTAAAAATACTGATTCCCAGGCCTCCACCCTAGGTCCATTGAATCAGAATGTCTGGGCCCAACTCCGGAAAGTTATTTTCAAAAAGTTCCCCAGTGATTCTTTTTTTTTTTTTTTAAGATTTTATTTATTTATTTGACAAACAGAGACCACAAGTAGGCAGAAAGGCAGAGAGAAGTGGAAGCAGGCTCCCCGCTGAGCGGAGAGCCCGATGCAGGCCTCGATCCCAGGACCCTGAGATCATGACCTGAGCCGAAGGCAGAGGCTTTAACCCACTGAGCCACCCAGGTGCCCCTTCCCCAGCGATTCTTGTGTGTAGCCAGGATAGGAAATTACTGGAGTTTAAAGCAGAACTACTCCTACTTGTGCATACAAGTCACCTGGGATGATCTTAAAATGAAGGCTCAGATTCAGCAGGTCAGGGGTGTATTTGAGGTGTTGCATTTCTAACTCCCCAGAGATGCTGATGCTGTTGGTTCTTGGGCACACTTTGAGTAGTGGGGTCTTTATGGGATTGCTCTTCCAGATGCATACCCCGATCAGGCCATCCTGCCTTCATGCTCATCCTCATGACTGCAAGACACAGCTCATCTCTCTGTTGCTTTTACAGTGCCCTCCCACCATGTGCTCCTCTTTTTCCTTTCCTCCCCTCCTCTCTATATAACTATTGGTGTCTTCCCTTGGCCTCTGTCCCATTCTCTTCCTCCTTTTATTCCATGTAGTTATCATAATTTGTGAGCAAAATCTAAAGTTGTACCTTCTCAGCAAAAGAGGCTCAAATTCTTACATAAAGCCTTGAGTCTGGCATACAAGAGAACAGTCATCTCATCCATTTTAAATAAGGTGGTTCACAGTAGTTATTAACCTATAGTAGCCAGTTGTTTTCATTTCGATAAAACATCGACCAAATTAAAATTTAAGAATGTTTTCTTCAGAGGAAAGGAAATTGTATCACAAACTGCAATGAAGTGTGGAATTAAGGATGTTTTTTTCCCTGCTCCCTTTAGAGTATGAAGCTGAGCTGCCTCCCTTTCCAGAGGGATGTAAAGTCAAACAAGAAGCTATGATTTCTGTGAGTATCGTCCAGGCCCCAACCTAAACGAAAGGCTCTTATGTGACAATGGTGCTGATGTCATGAGTTAAGGAGGTGGGAAAGGGAAGGCACCGGAATTAGAACCAGAAATTGGGGCCAGTCCTAGCTCTACTACTACTAATGGTGTCACTTAGAGGGCATCATATAACCCTTCTGACCCTCAGTTTCCACCTCTGGTAAATGGAGCAGATAATCCTTGACTAACTCGCAGGACCTCTGTGGGGCTCAGATGAGACCCTGGATGAGAAAGTTCTTTCTGAAGGAGCCAGCACATGCCCATGTTGAGCATACTTGGGGAGAGAGCACATTTCTCTATGCATACCAGTGTGGGCAAGATGAAAAAGACCTTACTAAGAGGGCCAAGGAAGGGGGGCCCTCAGACAGTATACTTGAAGTAAAATAAGGGCTTAATGGAGTTTAAAATAAAAGAGCAAGGCTCTGAAAGATTCAGGGAATTGAGCAGGGTCACAGAGATAGGACCCAAACCTAAGTCTCTAGAATTCCAGTAGGTTATTGCAGCCGCCACTACCAGAGATTCTAAGAATTTCTTGCCTGTGATTGTTCTTTTTTCGTAGCATCCTGTTCTTGCTCTGTGGATGTAATGCTTTCTCAAATGTCTCTGCAGATACCAGTTACAGTTCCCTTCCCTGAATTGTTTGTGCTTTTTCCAGAGTCCGTTTTTCTTGGTAGATCTTGATATCTGTCCTTTATGCTGTGGATGTTTTGTGTAGAGAACTCTTGTTACTTATTCAGAATTTGTATTTTGATCTGAGTGGATTTTTCTATGTAGCTGGTATGATTTTCTTTTGCAGTCATCCATGTGCGTTTGTCTTCTGGATGAGTCTCTTCTATGAATAGAAACATTGACTAGGAGCTGGTGGGGAGTGATTGTCTAATGGGAGACTTTTCTTCCGGGTTGCAGGCAGAAAGCCTCCAAATCATTGGAGAGCTTTTTTTTTTTTTTTTTTTCTCCTTTCGGCTATCAGCTTGGCCAATCCTAGAAGTCAGTGGAAATCACTAGAATCACTGGCAAGGAGAGAGAACTGGATATAAAACATGGTGGGAGGGGCGCCTGGGCGGCTCAGTGGGTTAAAGCCTCTGCCTTCGGCTCAGGTCATGATCCCAGGGTCCTGGGATCGAGCCCCACGTCGGGCTCTCTGCTCGCAGGGAGCCTGCTTCCTCCTCTCTCTCTGCCTGCCTCTCTGTCTACTTGTGATCTCTGTCAAATAAATAAAATCTTAAAAAAAAACAAAAAACATGGTGGGAATGGAGCTTTATGTATATTGAAAGGAGCAGAAGCAAGAGGAGGGGAAATGTAGAGAGCAGGCCAGTGGAGCCCCAGCTGGATTTTCACTTAACCCCTCCTGTTTATCATTCCTTCTCTCATTCCCATCCTCTGAGGGGATTAAAGCCTTCTGGAGTTTTGATGGGAAGAGGGACTCCCATCAACTGGCACAGTTTCCTCTTATGGATCCTGGGCTACCCTTCCCTCTCTTCCTTGACCACAGGCTTCATCTCTGTTACTTTTGGAAATGTTTGCAAATCTTTCGTCCACTAATGGTTCTCCTGTTCTTTTTCTCTATTAGGGCTTTATTCCTTGATTGTCATTTATAGGTGTCTCAGAAGGGAAGAGGGCACAAAGATTTGTACTCATTGTGCCCCTTGAACCTGAAGTTAATACAGAATTTTATCCTTTGTTAGGTTACACAGGAAAATACAGTTATTTAAACTATTTATATGAATTGATTCTCCCCCCAATGGCCCCCATCAGGTTTCACCATTAGAGGAAACGGTTCTCCATGGCTTCAATACAGAGCACGTTTATTCAGCTCCTCATTTGACCATGGACTCGCATGTACTCTGTCCTCAAGTCAAGTTGGAAACAGTTGATCCAAAAACATGTAAGTAAGGGAGATTTTGTCTTTTATAATGTGGGGCTTGTAACATTGCAAAACTACAGGGTGGGAATGGGGTGGACAGACCTCAGGGAGACCACAAAAATATGAAAGAATATCTTCTTATTTTAAGTTTAATTTTATCTTTTATTTTTTAATACATATCAGAATTTTCTTATATTTTTTAAAAAAAAATTTTAAGTAGGTTCCATGCCCAACATGGGGATTTAACTCGTGACCCTGAGATCAAGAGTCACATACTCTACTGACTGAGCCAACCAGGCGCCCCTTAATTTTTATTTCTAAGAGAAGTAACTTTATCCCACTGGTTTATCTTTAAGGATGAAATATAAGAAAGATGATAAATAACAGCAAGCATACCTTGATTCTACATTAAAATCAAAGGGGGGAATGTAAAAGGTGGATGAAAGTATCACGCTGCCCTGTCTTGTGGGTTGAAGTCAGAGGTGTAGACTTTCTCCATCTTCTCCCTGGGACCAGTTCCTCAGGCCCTCCCTGGGACCAGACCTCTCCTACCATTTTGTTCTGTTCTCTCTGCTAGTGAGCTTTGGGCCTTGGCAACCACCACCACCATTACTGTGGACATAATGCCCCATCCATTGTACCCGCAACCTGTTCCTCTCCTCCTCATTCTACCACACTTCCCTTGCTTATTTTCCCTCCAGCCACACTGGCCTCCTTGCTGTGCCTGTGGCCCCAGCCCTGTGCAGGACCCCGTCTACATCCTCGCCAGTCCACAGAGGCTCAGAAAGATATTTTCAGTTTCTTTAATAACACAGCCCAACTCAGCAGTCTGAAGTAAAATGCAACATTTAAGGTCCTGTTACTTCACGGACAATACCTTTTTTTGGTTCAGAAACAAACATTTCTCCCAGATTCATCTGGGCCATTTGGGATTTTCAGTAGGATTTTTTTTTTGTTTGGTTTAGGTTCCCCCAAGGAATATCTGGAAACATTCATCTTTCCAGTTCTACTTCCCGGAATGGCTAGCCTGCTTCACCAAGCAAAGAAAGAAAAATGTTTTGAGGTCAGTTGCTCTGTGGGGTTTCTTTATTTCTAAATGCTCAGTAATTCATTTTTATCAGATGGTACCTCATTATCTCAGTACCATCAAGTGGTCATTCTCAAAACAATCCCTTTGGGAAGGAGAGCTGTGTTTTGGTCACCCACTCAGCTGCAGCCATGACATCTAGTTGTGCACACACATGCACTGCCATCTGTCTGGCCACTTGGCTCCAGAGAGGTTTTCTGCCTTCTTGGCCTCCCTGCCTGCCCTTCTCCTGGGTAACTGGCATCTACCAGGTTTGTTGGCTGCCACTGACTGTGTATGACGATGAAGGCTCGCCTTCTATTTTATCTGATTCTGGATTGATCTTCCCACATCTGGCCTCTCCATATTCCACTTCATGCTCAGTATCACGCATGTAGCTTGCTTCAGGAAAGGTCTGACCCACTGTCAGTGCTCGCTAAGCATTACTCATGGTCACACTGCAGCCAGCTTTCTGTGTGAATGGAGTTTGAATCCTGGAGCACCCTCCCGTAAATACCCCTGTGGGGGCACCCTCTTTTCTATGGTTGACAGGATACTTGGGGGTGCGTGTGTTCCATGCACAGTTTTGAATACTAGAATTAGGATGGCCTGTGTGAAGAGAATAAAATAGCAACAATATTTAATATTGACCAAGTGCTTGCTCTGTGCCAGGTGCTTTGCTAAATGCTTTAACATTCACTATTTCATTCAGCCCTCCAATGGCCCTATGAGATTCCTTCTATTAGTGTCCCCTGTATTTTACAGATGAGGAAACAGAAGAACAAAAAGATTTAGAAAGGGGATCAAGATGAATTTGCAGAGTTAGGATTCAGATCCAAGTTATGATTCAAAATGATACTTAAAAAATTGGCAGTAACTGCAGTGCAAACCTCAGTCAGCTTGCCACATCCCAGGGCCCTCAGAGCACTCACAGCTAATGGTATCAGCTCTCTGGTTACCCTTCAGCACAGTCTGTCTCTGAGAAGAACTGCGTGTCACCCGGATGGTGCTTTTATATACTAAGGAGACACCCATAGCCTAGATAATCCTAATTTCATCCCTCCCAAATGATGGAAGTTGGAAGCTGTCCTCTAAATAGCTCCAAGAAATACTGATTTTTAAAAATGTCCATGTTTTCTGAAGAACAAATTACTTGCCATAGGTTATAAAATCTGAACTGATTATATTTCTTTTCATTTGCTCATTTGGCTTCTCCTGAGGGCTAAATATCCATCCCCCATTCATAACTGACCTTCCCCCTCTGCTGTGTGCTGTTAACAGGTGCAAAGTGCAGCAGGGTGGAATGGTAGTGAGCCCAGGGACCAGACAGCAGAGCCCCTAGCCTGACCCTGCCATTGTCAGGGGCTTTGTCTCTCTGGCTTCAGGTCCTGCTGCTAAATGAGGGAGACCAGACCATCCTACAGGTCATATTTCAGGGATCTTTTTTTAAAATCTTGCTGTTGGCCATAGTATATTCAGTGTTCCATGGCTTTTATTAGATTGAACAAAGGATGGCACACAATGATTAAACAATGACATGAGCACAGTGGAATAATCTGTGTTTAAATATGCATATAGAATATCCAGAGACAGAGTAAGTCACCCAAATGCAGCTCTGTTCAACAAATATTTATTAAATCCTACTGTGTACTGATGACTGGGCCAGACCCTAGGAAAGGACACAGAGAGGACCAGCTATGGCCTTGTCCTCAAGAAAACCACAAACAAGGGATGCCTAGTCAGTTAAGCATCTGCCTTCAGCTCAGCTCATTATCCCAGGGTCCTGGGATCAAGCCCTGCATCAGGCTTACTGCTCAGCAGGGTGCCTGCTTCCTCCTCTCTCTGCTTGTCAAATAAATAAAATCTTAAAAAAAAAAAAAAAAAGAGCGGACGTGGGGAAACAAGAGTGGATCCAGGAGCCATGAATGCACGTCTAGACCTTGGCGCAGCTATATTCCACTGTGCAGACTTTGTTCTGATTTCTTCAACTGTTATTCTTCTCATTTATACCCCTTCAGAGGACACAAAAATCAGCTGAAAGGGCAGTAATTAAGATTTTACATGGAGGGTTATATCTCTACTGTTTGCCCATAAATAATTCTGTAATGAGGGGGCTAGAAACAGTTTCCAGCCTCCAAGCAATGATAAAGTGCTTTTAAAGAATCAGAGAAATTTCTATTTGTATTAGAGATTAATGAGGCATCCTTGTGCCAACTCATATTTCATCTTTGACATCCTGCAGATGAGCTGCCGCTGGGACTAAATGAAACCAGTCTAAACATCAAATGCACAGGGTGTTTGAACAGAGCATTGAAGTTTAAATGTTGTAACGAGCGATCAAGGAATGTAGAAAATACAGGTTCTTAAAACCGTTCGCTTGCAAAAATTGATAAACTTTCAAGGCAGCCAGACACACTGGAGTCCCAAATCCTGCTCAACTGCTTTCCATGCAGTGGGACCCTAAGTGATCTGTGACCCTCTTTCCTCCCCTATTAAAGGGATGGCAGAAAGAAGAGGGGGGAGGGGATGGCAGAGGTTCTCCTGTTACAGGAGGATGAGGGGAAGTACTTAATGAGGTTCACAGGCACCAAGGAAGGTTAGCCTTCCCTTGGGCTTTGCCCAGAAGCTCAGTGATTTGAATACTACAAATATGCAAGCTGGGTGGCTTACCATTAACTTCTTTTATTTCCTGATTTAGGATTTCTTAATTAAACCTAATTCCTTCCTTTTTCACCCCCTGGTCACGTAGTCTTTTGTGGGTTATTTTTTGAAGGCTTGAAAGTTGCAGAAACATTTGTCAGACCCAAGCGGAGCTCCTCTTATCCAGATCTGCACAACAGATTTGCATTTTCTCAATTCAGCTGTTCCTCACATCCTGTCAGTGGGAATAGATGCTTAAACTGAATGATAACCAGCCTCCAGCCAAAATTACATAACTGGGGCATTCTTATCTGTCACCCACAACTGAACTCGCATCCAAATGACTCTTAAACAGCAGCATAATTCATTGTTTATTGGGGCCGCTCAAATTATATCTTGAAACAGCAGTTATATTAGGTCACTCAAGAAATAATTGCTGATTTGTATTTTGCCCTTAAAATGCTGACTTATAGTTAGGTTTCCTTGCTTTTGTTATTTTCTGTTTTGTTCTATGATGTAGCTCTAGCAGCACCTGGGACATGGTAGGGAGGGACCCACTAAATACTTGTTGGATGAATGAATACAGTTCCTCAAAAGTCAGGGCCAATTTTTAAGATAGCAGTTAAGTTATGGGAGCGCTTGTCAGTTTGCGCTAGCTGTTACACGCAAGAGCTGATTTACTAACTATACCTGTGGTGTCTCGATTTACTGCCTCTGGAGGGAGATAGACTGTAGAGTGGCTTCCCTTAGAGCTAGAGTTGGGTGAGGAGCAGTCCTCTAAAAATTGAAGGGGCCTCCTAGCAGATGGAGAGCTAGAGAGTTGAGCAAGAAGCTGGAATTGAAGAATAGTAGTTTCTGGGGCACCTGGGTGGCTCAGTGGGTTAAAGCCTTTGCCTTCGGCTCAGGTCATGATCTCAGGGTCCTGGGATTGAGCCCTGCCTCAGGCTCTTTCTGCTCAACAGGGAGCCTGCTTCCTGCCTCTCTCTCTGCCTGCCTCTCTGCCTACTTGTGATCTCTGTCTGTCAAATGAATAAAATCTTAAAAAAAAAAAAAAAAAAAAAAAAAGGAATAGTCGTTTCTGGCACTTTAGGGCCCTTACATTGTTCTAAATATTTGATCTGCTGAAACTCATTTCATCTTCCCAGCAACCCTCCAGTGTGGGTGCTCTTACTTCAGTCTTCAGATGAGGATTCTGCACTGCCAAGGTTAACCAACAAGCTCAGGAGAACAGCTAGTAAGTGGTTGTAGAGCCAAGATTCAAGCTGAGCAGTGCTCTGCTTCCTGAGTCTAGGAGTTTGACATCAGACCACGCTGGTGGTTGGTCCAATGGCTTGCCGAAAGCATGGACCACATTCTGATATGAAAGATGGGTCTGGAATCCATAGGAAAAAAGGAGTGAGAAGCAAGGCAGGTATGGGGCAGTCACCCAGACCAGGCCCCATGGAGGCCTCGTGGGGCAGAATCCTTCATTTAGATTGTCTCATGAGTACCGTAACACTCCAAGGAAAACTGGAGGGAATAAAACGCGGGCGGGTAGGGGTGGAGAACAATGAATGGCATCTCATTACTATGCCAAAGAGCACTTGGCCAATTAGACAAACACACACACACACACACACACACACACACACACGAAGCAATCTATGGTACATGGGCCAGTGGTTCAGAACCGGGCCTCTAGAATCAGGCAGACTTTGTTTCCAACCTGACTCTTCCAACCGGACAAGCTGTGTAAGCTTAATGATTTTTATATTGATTTATTCATAATTCAGTTCCTTTATACATGTCATTTTCAATATTACAAATTGAATTCTAGTGAAATTAATAAAGATCCTAATCAAATGGTTTGTTCATCATTAGATATGTTAATCTTTTCAGTGCTCAGAATAAAATTCAGCTTATTTAACAAGCAGGTATTTCTCCAGTCCTTCATTTTTGGAGGAGATTACAATTGGGAGACTAAACCTTAAATGAATGATTGAATTATCTCAGCTTTAAGATTAAATGAAGACCCTGTGCATTTCTTGAGATGAATTTAACAAGTGAAAGAGATTTCTTTAACCTTCCCCAGATAGTTGTTTTCAACTACATATGAAAAGGTCACAGAGAAGGTGCGCCTGGGTGGCTCACTTGGTTAAGTGTCTGCCTTTGGCTCAGGTCATGATCTCAGGTCCTGGGATTGAGCCCTGAGTCAGGCTCCCTGCTCACCAGGAATTCTGCTTCTCCCTCTCCTTCTGCCCCCCACCACTCATGTGTGCACATGCGCACTCTCTCACTCTCTCTAAAATAAATAAATAAAATCTAAAAAAAGAAAAAAGAAAGAAAGGTCACAGACATATAGGTGGTGTCTGTAGGGC